TGTAAAATTATAGCAACAAGAGTTCACCATTAATGGTCATTATAAAGCTTCAAATTTTGAATTCATTATTTGAAATTTTACGAATTTGTGATTAGCTTGGATAGATTGTTTCTACAAATAATTGAAAATGTCGTTTGAAATTTATATCTCAATTTTAAGAGGGTTTGGTTAAGTTTATAATTGATTTTAGGAGAAATATTAGATTGAAACTCGAAAAAGGTGAAGTTTATGGAACTGTATGACAATTGTTTTAAAGTTGTATTAGATATGTTTCATAATTGTATTAAAATTATATTAAAATCATGAACAATACATTTATAATACATATTACAAACTTCACTCTTTTTTAGTGGTATCAACCAAAATAATTTAAGTAACACATTCGTAATACATTTATAATATAGGAACAATACATATTGCAAATGCCGCTTTTTTTCTTAGTGATACAAATCAAAATAATTTATAAGACACATATAATATAAGTTTTATTCTTAAGCAATCCATTAATAATACATATTGCAACCATCACTTATTTTCTTAGTGATACAAATCAAATAATTCATAAGACACATATAATATAAGTTTTATTCTTAAGCAATCCATTAATAATACATATTGCACACTTCACTCCTTTCTTAGTGGTACCAACAAGAATAATTTAGGTAACACACTAATAATACCTTTATAAGACACCCACATTACATTTTAATACATATTGCAACCATCACTTATTTTCTTAGTGATACAAATCAAATAATTTATAAGACACATATAATATAGGTTTATTCATGAACAATACATTTCTTATTGCAAACTTTACTCTCTTCTTAATGATACCAACCAAATGATTTATGTAACACAGTTATAATACATGCACACTACATTTTTAATACATATTGCAAACATCACTCATGTTTTTTAGTGATACAAACCAAAATAATTTATAAGATACATATAATATATGTTTTATTCATGAATAATACAAGTTTAATTCAGTCTATAGATTATTATCTTGTTTTTCATTAGTAATGTTTTTTTATTTATTCTTAATTTTCTCTTTTAATTCAACTTTAATATTGGTAATACACTTTTAATGCAAATTTAATTCATTTTGTAGTTTATTATTTGTTACTATTAGATTACTTGTTTAATTCATTATTGATACAAATTTAATTCACTCTATAGATCTGGTCGTTCATTAGTTACATTTTTTATTCATGCTTAATTCTCTCTTCTAATTCAACTTTAATATTGTGTAATACACTTTTAATGCAAATTTAATTCATTTTGTAGTTTATTATTTGTTACTATTAGATTACTTGTTTAATTCATTATTGATACAAATTTAATTCACTCTATAGATCTGGTCGTTCATTAGTTACATTTTTTATTCATGCTTAATTCTCTCTTCTAATTCAACTTTAATATTTGTGTAATACACTTCTAATACAAGTTTAATTCATTTTGCAGTTTATTGGTTGATTTGTTATGATTGAATTACTTGTTTAATTCATTATTGATACAAGTTTTATTCAGTTTACAAATCACAGAATGCTCTTTCATTTGCTACATTTTGCATGCGTGTTTAATTCACTTCTAATTCAACTTTAATATGTGTGTAACACATTTTTAATTCAAGTTTAATTCATTTGGCAGTTTATTATGTTTCTTCATTTGTTACAATTAGATTACTT